AAAGTTCATGAATGGGTATGCTAGGCATCGAAGAACCAGTTGCCTGAATCTCAGTTCCGGGCCTGCTATATCGAATGTTCCAGCCATTGCACCACGGACGCCATTTTTATAACTTAGCTATGTGGTGAGGTCTCACTATTACAGATTAGGGTGCATTGGGCGGTGGTGGGTTCAACAGGATTCAACCAAAGTTCTCCGAGCCTGGAATTGCGTTAGGGTAGTTTGTAATGCAGACAGATTCCGTGTGGAGCTTTTTCAGGACCCTTACAGGGCATTTGAACGAAGTTTTACGGATGACCCTACAGGCCCTTTCTGTTCTAGTCCACGTGTAACTGTCGTTTTGACAACCTTTACTCCAACCACACCAACAAAGCCGCATCTGCTAGATCGTTGTAAAGACGCTAGTTGATTCCAGGGCCTGGGTCTTTGTGGTGGACATCCAACTATTCTGTTCCCTGCGTTCATAATGCTCGCTTCCCCAAATTCAGGCGCCGTTACAAACAACTGTTCCAATGCTTCCTTTCACTGGCCCTCCTGTCCTCCAAGACTTGAACTCGCAGCTGCTTCTGGCTAGCCAATAACATCTGCGCCAGCGTCCTCTGTGCTTCGGCGTTCCTCACGGTTGACCTCAGCTTATTCAGTTACGCACACACGTGCGCAAACACCCGCGCATACATGCACGTCCAAATAAGCACGCATACCTAGGGGCCACTTAAACGCGCCCCTCATACCGACGCAGTATGAGTCTCAGTACTCGACACCCCCTTCGGGCAAATATAAACACACCAAGTCCACCCCATTTGAACTCGCTTTACAGTCATGTAAAAACAGCTGCCATCAACACAACACACAAAGTCGGGCACGACTGGACGCAGTCAACACCAGGCCTGGCTTCGCCAGCGGCCACTGCTGCCTGAGACAGCAACTCAGAGTTCTGTGTCCCAAATAGAGCCGTCATTGGCGTGACCTCGTTCTCAGACAAGAAGTCACTTTGATGTTGTTTCGGTGTCTCCTCTGTTGACGGACTTTCGAACATGGCCGAAATCAGGGATATCTAGAACGGCAGTTCCAACAATCAAGCTTCCTTCTTTTAAACAGTTAAAGTTACCGCAATACCTCCAACAAACCATCCACAGAAAATCCCTT